TGAGTTGCAATAGAATGAAGACTCTTCCTAGTAAGAGAGTGGGCAAGCATTTTGCACTGACATACCCAAACTCTCCCCTCCCCCTCCATGTGTAAACGTGTTCTACAGTGGTCATTTTTGTCAATTAACTCCTGACTCATCTGACATTTTAAATTATCTCTATCCCCTGAAATGTACCACCATCAAACTCGTGTCACTCTGCCCTTTCCTGATTGCATTAAATGCTGTTAATAACTATAGAGAAAACATCAATCACTCACTACTGTTTCTGCTTTCAACCCACCACCCTTTTCCTCAACCATTTCTCCCTCCATCCTTCCATATTGCGTAGGTCTTCTAGCACACAGTATACGAGTATGCATCCTCACAAAGTAGGTACATGTATCACTCAGATGCCTTTCATTTATTTTTACTTTCCAATTGAAAATACAGTGACCTCATCACTGACTTTTTACTTGAAATAACTTTTGGTGCTTTTGGAAACCATTTGCAAGTAAAATGAATATGTGATTTCTCCTGTATAGAAAAACAACAGTGTTCCCTTTTCCTATTGGAGGTTGCCTGCTTCAAACTCTGATCTGGCCGTTCCCTTGTGCACTGTTTTAGCTTACATTTTGTACATTGTAACACTTCACTAGCAGGATACCTCCTGCCTTCTTTACAAAGCAACACAATGCCAAAATACTAAAAGAAAAACATTTGCATTATGTTCTGTATATCCTGTCTGCCTTCTACATGTATTCCCTGTGAAATGTCCCAAGCTGACTGCATGAACATACAAGAAAGACTAGTTTATCTTCTTAACTCAGAAACTGCCCATACTGTGCTGTGCAAGAAACGTTATGAGTCTTATCTTTAAAACATAGAAAACAGTTAATAACATAATAAAATACCAAATTCACTGCATGTCATCAGTAAATTTTCAAGTCTGTCATCCAGCTTGTTAAAAATAAATGGCAACAGAGAATGTAGACAAGCTTTAAACTTGTGTATTACTATTAAAAACTGAATAAAAACTTGATGTTGAATTGCACCATTTGAAATTTTCTATTGAACATGAGAGATATGGCACAATATAATAGAATAGTGTGCATCTTCATTACTTCAAGTGACAGTAGTAATCTTCATTTCTTAGATTAGTAAATTATAGAATAATACATTATGTATGTCCATCTAAAGAAAGTGACAGATTCTTGCTACAATTGCGTGTGCTGTAACATACACTGAACCACTGTATATATATAGCACATCATTTTTTTATTGCTTATATCAACCTGTTAATGTTATTCAAGCCTACAGCTAGACTACTAGTATTCATTTGCTATACATGTGTACTATCTAGGGCTGCGGACCGGTACACTGTACCGGTCCAATACCGTAAAAATCGTTTCGGTACAGGTCCAAAATACCGGATCATGAAGTAACGAGTATATACCGAAATAGCTAGTTTACACCATGTATATGACTAAAGATAGGTAAATCCTACCACAAAGACGAAAAATTAGCACTGGAAAAGACGTAAACACCGTCGATTGATTTGAGATCCTCAGTCTCACGAGACATCGCGAGAGTGTGGCTGATCCAGGGTTGTGATTGGTCAACAAACTCAAATCAGGTCAGAGGTCAGTCATTTTCCTTTCCCTCCATATTGGCGGCCTTTGTTGCTTTTGTGTTGTGTCTGTATTTTGCCGCGTCAAATTGTTCAGGTACAGGTACAGGTCCGGACCTGTACTATCAGCCCTAGTACTATCCTATGCTTGCAATACATAATATATAATAAGGCCACAGCAAGTAAATTTTATGGATGACATGTTCCGCAGACTCCAAATCTAATGCGAGCGGGCGAAAAAAAACAAGGCGGGCCGAAAAAAACAAGGTTCCTACAATGTAAAATTTTGACTCAGTCATTGTACAAATGATTTTGATTCAGTGGGACCATCACATATACACAGCCAGCATCACATATCACTGCATCAAAGTAAGAAACAAAACATTAAATCAGAGCCTTTTCTTGTCTCTCTTCCTAGTTATCTGCCATCCACCTTCCAGCATGGCAACAGACATCTTTGCCCATTTTCGGCATGTTGACCACTGTCAGAAGGCAAAAAAATTTCTTGTTTTTTTTTCAGACGAAATTTAATGCGCACTTGGATGTCATCCATAAAATTTACTTGCTGTGGCCTAAAAAGAAAATACAAAATCAACTTGAAAACATTTGTCAGTAATACAACTTACTCTAAATAGAGATCAGTTCTTGCTGACCCCTGTCATAAGTATATCAAAGAGCTTGACTGGGCATTGTAATTATTCTTTAAAGAGACATTTTAATTTCTCATGATCATAATATGGTCTTATGTAACAGGCCGCCTTGGTGCCACTTTGATAAGATTTTTCACATGGTGGTACTTCTCAACAGATTCAATGTTTGCTTTGAAAAAAGCATACATCAAACTACTATCATTGAAATGTGGCCAACGTTTCACACAAGAAACACGACACTGAGCCTCTGCAAGTGGCTGTGCCTCTGCTTGGTCCACATTTTCAGTGTTATTGTCTGAGCCCTCAGTCATATTTTCATGGCCATCATTGGTTTGTTCTGCCCCAGGCCCAATCTCAGCAAATGGGTACTCTTCAGCACATTTATAAAGTACAAATACATTAATCAATATAATCAACACATTCATCCCAAGCAGAACCATGTTTGTTCCCCATACAAATTTATGTACGGTAGCTGTAGGCACTGTGCAAGTTACAGAAAATTTCTCTTCCACAGGACATGAGAATTTATCACGAATACCACATATAGAAATGGGTTGGAACCAGTAGCATCCAAAGAATAACACTGAAATTACTATGGACACTACTTGCTTGAAAACATACCATATGTACATGGTACAGTCTGCTCTCCACTGCTTTTCTGCTTCTTCAAACTCGTCTTGTCCATACACGACCCTCTGTCCATTAGCCTGACCTTGGCCTTGTGTATTTGGTTTCCTAAATCGGCCATAGAACACTTCCATGTCATATGTTATGAATCTCACAATGGCTATGATCTCCCTACCCTTAGTTACATTCCAAATCAAAAATGGTGCATACATAACACCTGCTTGAACCACCAACATCATGGCAAAGAAATGATAGCTAAACATTGAGGAATTCTCTCCTGCACAGTAAGTGTTTACAAATTCAGACAGTTGTCGGGTATAACCTGATACACCACTAAATGCGTTGCTGCTGGTCATGTTACAAAAGGTTTCATTCTCCGACTGCACTGTCACATTCACAAGACTCAAGGGGAAACACTGGATACTGGATCCTGAAAGAAATAAACAATGGGAAACAAAGTAAGCCTGCACATAAAAAAATCACTGTCCCAATTAATACATTATAATGTACTGTACATACATATAACAACTGTACACCTCTGAAAATTATTTGCCAAAATCTAATAAATCTATCTATCTAATACAGTATCTTAAATCTGTCTATACACAATTATACGATAATCATTCAGTCACAGTGACTTATCCTTCAACAAGATCATGACACAACGCAAATATATAATACTGTACCTAGAAGATCCCGCCCAACTACAATGGTAGACATGAGGAGTGGGAGCCAACAGGATATGACTTTGGAGAAATGGTCGCCCCACAACTCAGCATGCAGACGAGCCGGGTCTGTCATCACCCCCAAACCCTGATCAAGGATGCTGGTGATCATCTTATAATTTATTCTTTGTATTCCTCAGCTGTAAAACAAGAATTGTACAATGTTTTGTTCTTTATCCCATTAGGCTACATGAGCCTTATTTATAGAATACAGGTCCATTTTTTAATCACCTTAAGTACAAGCTGAAGCTGGAAAACCTGTATGGAAAATCATCATGGCCTCCAAAAAATTATATCATCATACTATTACCCCCATGGATAGGAATAAGTTTTAAAAAATACATACTGTCTTTTTTTTTTTTGCTATCAAATTTATTTAATAGAATTCCCTGGCCTCTTTTGCCAATGTTGACAGCTTTTTAAAACCATTTGTACTTACTGTCCAATCTTGATAACTGTGTACTCCACTAGCTTGGACAGATCAGAAGTGTCAATCTACACAATGTGAGTTTAAAACAGGAAAGGCATGAATGCACCCCAAAATTTCCCTAAGCAAAATTTGCTACATGTAAAAGGCTACAATGTGCACAGTAATTCAGAAAAAAGCTAGTTGTACTAACCTTGATTTTAACAAAAGCTTTCATTACATGTATCAAATAGTTGGTAAAACTTCAGAAGCTCATCCAGTGACACAAATGTTAAACCTTGGTGTTACAGTTCTACTTGCCAATGGTCACAATGGACTGTTTTGAAAACAAAGGACTGTTTGTACTAAAGGGACCAGTGGTGTCAGTGTCCAAGGTTAATGAATGCGTGAGGTAACCCAACCTAACTGTTGATTTCTCTTCTTGATCACAGAGTTCAGCCTCAACCTTTAAGATCTGTTAACACTCAGAAGCTATAGAAAGGCTTATTTATGAATTAACAGGTAAGACCACCCTGTATTTACCCCCAGACTGTTCAATCTTTGGCGAAAATGAAAGTTAACATGCCTGATTAGGCTCAACACAAAGGTATGCAAGTCAAAGTCAACACTGACACAGCACAAAGCACGCAACAGACTAACGGTAATCAAATAAGACCTCAGTCGTAGCATATATCAACTTAGTTTTTCTCTGTTTTTTTCAAACAAAATGTTTACCCTATTATTGATGGCATACCTAAGAAGAAATGAAACAAGAAAGTTTGCCTGGCCTTTTTGACATTCAGCCTACTGTTCTACATAATTGTGGGAACTACTTATTACCTGAAAAGGTGTGGTACAGTTGCGGATGGATATGGGAAGTGAAGCGGTGTCACAAAGTGCATACCTAACATGGCTGCCGTGAGTGCAGCATGAAGATTTCCTGCTCCGAAAGACTGACCTTGTTTTCTTGAGGAGATATCTTCAGATATTAATGAAGTAAGAAAATATATTTCATGAGTTTCTTGATCATGTGTTTACTATGAAAGGACCAAAGTAATGAATTAGAGTATCTAAAATCTGTTGCGGATGGATATAAGTAATCAGGTAAGGTGACTCCACGCAGTGTGTACATGTACCTACATGGCTGCCGTGAGTACAGCGGGAAGATTTCCTGCTCCTAAAGACTGACCTGTAGACTTGTTTTATTGAAGAGATAATCTTAATGAGGTAAGAAAAAGTATTTTCATAGCTATAGATTTCTGGATCAATTTATGAATCAACTTCCATCATGTGTTTATGGTGAGAGAATCAATTAGGCCATCAAAACCTCAAATCAAGGGCTGTTCTCGAGCACAGGTGCACTTTGTCCATGAAGCTAAATCTGTTGCCTTTGTGCTGTTTGCAAGTAAATTATTAGAGTATGAAATATGTGACACATTGAGGGCCATGAATGTAATGAAGATTAAATCTTTAAGGTGAAAAGTAACATGCTTGAAATCTAAAACTACAGTGAATGTATTTACCTAAGGTAATGTGGTGGGTTTATCTTGCCAAAGGCAAAGGATGCAAATGGGAGGTTTCACAGTGTTTGACTGTAAACAATTCTGTAATAAGGCCACACCAATTTAATTTGTTGGCTCTCAGATTTTTTCAGAGAAAATATGAAGCGACGGGGCGAAAAAAAATAAAAGCAGGTCTAGGCATCCTATTATAGCCCTAAATACAGTACATAGGAGCCATGAGGCCACATCAATTCAATTTGTTGTTTCTCGGATTTTTTCATAAAAAATCAGGAGCGACAGGGCGAAAAAAAATTTAAAAAAAACAGGCCAAGGCACCACATGATAGCCGGAAATGTTACAATATGAGCCATGAAGTGAACATACTGGGCTGGTTTATAATTAAAACAATAGATTTTAAACTTTTAATGAAACAAATTTGCTTTACTACATGATTGAAAAACTTAAGAACTAGGAAGAAAAGGACTTTTTTTCAACTGTTGGGGCCAAAAAAATTTCATTGAGCATTTTGCAGCTAATTCAGAACCCCCAATTTTTTTTTTTTTTTGCAAATCAGAAAAATATGGACAGGGCGAATCCGAGAAGCAACAAATTGAATTGGTGTGGCCTGAAGTCAACACAAAAAGCTGGGTTGATATTCAAGCAATGAATTTTGAACTTTCAAACCACTGCATTGATAGATGGGAAAACTGTAACAACTAGGAAGAAAACCTGGACTTAAATTTCCTCAACTTTTGGGGCAAAAATATGAGCATTTTTGAGTTGTTTCAGAGGCAAATCCGAGAACCAACCAATTGGTGTGGCCTAAGGTATACTTACAAAATACGTATTGAAGTTATGATTTTGAAAAAACATAAATTTTATGGTTTTTGCAAAATTATAACACTTCAATTAGTACAATGACATTTTGTAAAATAAATACATTGTTCACACATAAATATGAGTTTCTGCATTAATGTTCCTCCTCAGTCATGAAGGTTTTTTCAATCTAAATACATTTGTAAAAACAATCTGTTTCCTAAATGGACAAGCATATTTTCAAAGTGTTGCAACAAACAAAGTCTTAGAACTTTTTCATTCTTTTCAGAACCAACTAGATCCACCATGTTTACTAAGAAAAAGAAGAACACATTCAAGTCAAAGTCTACAAGAGGTGGTGGTGTTAGGGACATGATGAGTCCAGATGATGGTAAATATTGATAATTAAATGTAATTTTAACATTAATTGTGACATAGATAGCACCATGTTTAACATTGAAGGCAATTCCTCTGTGTACATTAGATTTACTGACTAGATTTTATGGATGATATCATCTAGATGCCCCAAAACTGAACACACTGCACAAAAAAGACTCTTAAGTTTTTTGATTTAAGTGAAACTAGAGTTCCACGAGCTCATGCTTTTGTTACATATTAGCCTTTAAGACTGAATTATAAATGTTGATTAATATGCAAAATTAGGTCCTCATTTCCATTAATCATGTTGATCATATTTTCCACCCAAACAACCCAGGCTATTCTAGCATTTCCTCATAAATGATATGCAAATGAGGTTCTCAAGTAAAATATGTCATTGCATGAGAAAACCAGGCAAAATCGATTGGGAGGTCGGAAGATGGGGGTCGGCAAAATCCGCTCATATTTTGTATATAGGATAGGTATGGGTAACTATCACCGGCCATATGATTAAAACCCTCCAGCTCTTTTTTGTTATGGAGTTCTGGAACCCCCCATGGAGACCCTCAATAATTGGAGAATTTTTGCCTGGAAATTCACGAAATTCAGATCGCTCTCTCCAGAGTTCTATGAAAGATTTTGATATGTGCTTTTGATTTTTACATTTCTTCATCTCTCTAGTCTAACCATACGAAATGAGAAACTCTGGCATTGAACTTTAAAGGGTATGCTTGGGGGTTATCAGAACCATTGAAAGCAGACTTTGAACTTTTTTTAATATTAGTCATCTTTAAAGGATCATTTGTCACACAATCTGCATTTGTTTGGATTGGTTTTGATTTTTCTGAATAGAGGAACATCTATTCCTTAAGAAACAATCGTCGTTTAATTGGGATCTAAATATTGTGAGTCGTGGGAAGAGGCTAATTATGGGGTATATTAGCTTCTGAAAAACAGTAAATCAAGCAATTTCGCTACCATAATGCAAAAGCTATTGACTGGAATATTGTCTTTCTGAATCAGAATGTATGCAGGGGCATGGTGACTGCTAAAATAAATGCAAAGGAAGTGATATGGGCTCTGCATGGGGGTTTTGAGTATACTTAAAATAGGTTTAGCTAACTTATCATGTGAATAATGCTAACTGTCCCACTTTACATTAGTGGATTATATTACTAACTTGCAGTTTGTGTATAGAAAAAATAGTTAAGAATAATTTGGGCTCTGCATGGGGATTAATGGAACACCTTTCGCATATTTTGTTTCATATCTTGTTTCTTTATAAGTGTGTAATTCTTATATTATTTTGACACACACACACAGAAAACACAAGTAGCACACCATAACAAGTTTCTGCCCAACGCGTTTCCACCCGTCTTGCACTGATAGCTCTTCTAAACCCACAGTCATAGCTAGATATTAGATATCTAGCTTTCTTCAATGGATATTTGTACTGGCATTTATCATGCAATCTTCTAGATTAAAATACATGTGCTTGGGCTCTCTAATATGTCCTTAACTAGATAAATTACTAAATAACTTCATATATCTACTATGTTGTACTCAATAAAAATGCTATGTTTTGTGGACTTTGGAGTTATCAGGCCTTCAAAATGTGATACCATGTGATACCCTGGCTAAATGGATACAGAGCATGTAGCGGCATTATCTAGAAACAAGACCATAACAAGGTCAAGGCAAAGATCCAATCCTGAGGCAAAGATCCAATCCTGAGATAATTGTATGTAGCTGTACTTTTGAAAACTGTGGAAATGAATAATGATAAAAATGACAGTTTACTTTTAGTTTTGCTACTACCGTAATTGGTAACAAATGCTGGTCATGCATTGTAACAACTTGAGAATTGGGTATAATCTGTCATATCATGGACACATTATGAAACAAAACTCCAACAAAATACAAAAATCAATTTACACATGTCTGTGTGCCAGCCCTAGGGTGGTCTCCAATTCCTGTATGTAATTGTAAATAACTTTGAGCTTTAGTTGAAGCTGAAGTTTTATTGGATATCAATTAGATTAGATAAAAACATCCAATCTATTCTTCCTGGTTTCATAAAACACAGAGTACAATAACATAGTAAGGCACGTAACATAACACTTGCATTCATAATAAACAATGAACAATTATGTACGATTACAAGTTACACCACACAAAATTGCTTTTTGGAGAGGTCAGAGGTCAATGATACAATATACAGCTTATTTCTTGCGCAAGTACTTTACCACCAGTGCTTTAAAAGTTTGTTTGTATCTATGTTGTATGTCAACATATCATTTATGATGTTTTTGAACTTGTGGTTGTGTGGTTGATCTGGCGTGTGGTGGAAGAACGTTGTGTGATTTTATACACCTGTAAGCGAATGTTCTTTTCATTGCAGTTGTCCTCGGTTTAGGCAGTCTTAGGCCACCCCCTGTCGCGAGTCGCGTGCTATGGCCATGGGAATTATCTATTCGTTTTAACCTGTCGAAAATCACTTCTGGTTTCATTCAGCTTTTAAATTAATGATTTGCTATTTCGCATGAGATTATAATCGATCGGTGTCTTTCACTATAACCGGGTGACTATAGTGAATGCTAGACTAAGTATAGACTGTCTTTTACAGTGCCTGCCACTCGCCTTCCTTTTATATCACCTGTTATGTCAGTGGCCACACATTCTGTGTTTTCCTGCTGTCTCTGATGCCGACAGTCCAGCAAAATGGCTTGTAAGCTGCTTGCCTGTATGCCACTACAACGGCCTATACAGCTTCCCATCGGCCTGGCATCTCCAGATACTAGAGCCACTTGTACAACATCAGCTTTCTGGCCCGACCTAGCTCCCTGGTTGAAATGTAATCAGATAGGTCTTCAATTTGTCTGACATTGACCGTCCAGTTGCCCAGCCTTTAACTCGGGAGGGTCCCATGATATCAAGGATTCTACCCCAAGTGACTGTGGGGCTAAGTACATGTAGGGGCCATGCACTATACCTGTCCAGTTACAACTTGATCATTTCTTGCGTATTTTGGTGTTTGCACAATATTACGCTCATCGATATACTCCATATGTACATATATGCTAACTCCTATGCCGAATCCAAAGGTATTGTGAACCCCTTTGTCTACATACAGACTACAAGTAAGTAACGCTTGTGTATAGGGTTTACGATAACAGCTAATGGCGGGCGTGGTAGTTAGTACCATTCAGATGCAAAGTCCAATTCTAAAAGTATTTCAAAAACCCCATGCATGCAGTCTCTATATCACTTTCTTTGCATTTATCGCCCTCGCCAAGAATGTTATATTTTCAGTGACGTTCGTGTATGTGTGTCTGTGCGTGTCCAGGATCAGGAATTTTGGGTGGTAAATGGCTCCTCTGAAAAAGTGAGGCTTTAGGTCCTATTATGCAGCAGATTTTTTTAACTGCAGGAGCGTTTGTTAAAAGAATATTAGGATAACTAATATTAGTATGTCAATGACACGTCGTCGTCATTTTTGGTGTGTGGGTAGATTTAATGACGCTTGACATGATTTTATGACATTTATGCAAATCAGGATCTGATTTGCATTATTAATCTATAAACCTGCCACCTTCCATGATAGAATTATTCAAACTTGTAACATGTATGTAAGAACAAGAGGAACATTGCCATACATCAATTATAAAAACGAAGACTTAATTGCACAATTAATGAAAATGTTAGTGCTAGTAGTTTATGCTCAGCCTGGTACTTTCAAGCTTCTTGTTCATACTTGTGGCATTTATAAGTTTATTGAAGTTGAAATAACATCAAACATAACTAATGTGGATCTCATTTGCATAATTCATGAGAAAATGCTAGAAAGACAAATACTTATAATTCGCCAGTCATTAGGTTAATATTTTATGGCGAAAGTGGGAGATGAGGAACTCTAGTTTCAGTCATCATGTCCCTAAAGACTTCTGATTCAGCAGTAAAACTTGTTCTGGTGTGCTACTTGTGTTTTATGTGTGTGTCAAATTGTATACACACGTATAAATAAAATTAGTATACTAGTAATGTAAAAAAATTACACACTTAATTTACACACAAGCAAAAATATGTGAAAGGTGTCACATTAACCCCCATGCAGAGCCCAAGTTATTCGTAGCTATTTTTCTATACACAAACTGCAAGTTAGTAATAATCCACTAAATGTAAAGTGAGACAGTTAGCATTATTCACATCATAAATCAGTCAAACCTATTTTAAGTATACTCAAAACCCCCATGCAGAGCCCATATCACTTCCTTTGCATTTATTTTAGCAGTCACCATGCCCCTGCATACATTCTGATTCAGAAAGACAATATTCCAGTCAATAGCTTTTGCATTATGGTAGCGAAATTGCTTGATTTATTATTTTTCGGAAGCTAAAATACCCCATAATTAGCCTCTTCCCACGATTCACAATATTTAGATCCCAATTAAACGACGATTGTTTCTTAAGGAATAGATGTTCCTCTATTCAGAAAAATCAAAACCAATCCAAACAAATGCAGATTGTGTGACAAATGGCCCTTTAAAAATGACTAATATTCAAAAACGTTCAAAGTCTGCTTTCAATGGTTCCGATAAGAGTTTCTCATTTCGTATGGTTAGACTAGAGAGATGAAGAAATGTAAAAATCAAAAGCACATATCAAAATCTTTCATAGAACTCTGAGTTCACTTCACTTCGAAATGCCACAAGTATGAAATTCCAGGCAGTCACTATGGAATTATTATAGCATTTTCATTAATTATGGAAATTAGGTGTTTATTTACATTTATCAATTATCTACTGGTGTTTGCATGTCTGTTTCCCCAATTACATAATAATGTTATACATTTGAATAATCCTATCATGAATAGTCCTATCATAAATGCAGCAGGTTGATAGAATTTCCTCATTAATTATGCCAATTAGATCCTGATTTGCAAAATTATCATCTAATCACGTCAAGCATTATAAGAGGGAACATTCAAGACATTCAATAAACCTGTCATGGTTCATACCCTATGTTACGACAGCCCTATGTTATGACAGCCCTATGTTACGACAGCCCTATGTTACGACAGCCCTATGTTACGACAGCCCTATGTTTTGACGCCCCCTTTTTTCAGTGCAATAATGGCTATGTTCAGACACCAAATGATAAATTGTAAATTTATTGAGTGTAATGATCTCGGAGAAAATTTTCATGTGATATATTGTCACTGAAAAAAAAACTTTTCTTGTAGGATCGTTTTATGGTTACCGTAATATTTCAACACTATGGCGGGGTTACCTGAACACTCCCGAAGGATCTCTTGACAATGTATAAAACAACAAACTATGTGAGATAAAACAAGTTTGAAATCAACACTTTGGCGGGTTTACCTTACATTTGTCACAACAGCCCAAAGGCCCGTCACGCAGCGTATCGGGAGCCCATCAGGGAGCCCGCCCGAGAGCTCTTCGGATACGCCGCCAGAATGCCGTCAGAAACGCACGGACGGCCGTTTAAACGAACGTTTCGAACGGTGATGTACAAGGTGTTTGAGGCGTCCTGGACCGTTTTTGGCCTTTTTCAAGACGTCCAATATCCCCGTTTACCACCAGGGACGGGCAGCCGTCCCAAACGGTCAGGAAAGTGTCTATCCAGAAAATTTGCACTATTGACAGGACCATCCTGTCAATAGCAGAAAATTTTGCACTATTGACAGGATCATCCTGTCAATAACAGAAAATTATACTGTTGACAGGACCATCCTGTCAATAGTGGAAACTTTTCTATTATTGATAGGATGGTCCTGTCAACAGCAAAATAAAATCCGTTATTGACAGGATGGTCCTGTCAATAACAGAAAATTATACTGTTGACAGGACCATCCTGTCAATAGTGGAAACTTTTCTATTATTGATAGGATGGTCCTGTCAACAGCAAAATAAAATCCGTTATTGACAGGAAAAGTCCTATCAATAACGGAAAATTTTCCACTATCGACAGGATTGTCCTGTCAACAGTATGTTTTTTCTGTTATTGACAGGATGATCCTGTCAATAGTGCAAAATTTCCCACTATTGACAGGATGGTCCTGTCAACAGTATGTTTTTTCTGTTATTGACAGGATGATCCTGTCAATAGTGCAAAATTTTCCACTATTGACAGGATGGTCCTGTCAATAGCCTTAAGCAACGGTCAGTCACCCCAAACAGGTATCTAAACGGGCGTTTCTCCATCGGGGACGCTTTCATTTTTACAGAGGCAGCTCCATTGAGAAGTGTCAAAAACGATATTTTTCGACACCAAAATCTAAATTTCACTACGGTTTTTACGCGAATTGAAGCGTCAACAGACGATACCTAAAAACCTGAAAACCTCTGTTCACTTATATGATAAGATTTTCCGGCCTAATTTTCTGGGCGGAATTGTAGCCATTGGGCCTGGGGTGTCCATTGGATACCAAAATCGTAAAAGAAACTCCGTTCTGAGACCTTAATTTAGCGTGATGACGGAATCAAAGATCATGCTTTCAAGATTTTCATACTACGTATCCAAAAATGTCGAGAATTTTGTATTTAATAATTAACAATGAAAACATCTCGCGATTTTATGTTAACCGAGATCCGAAATCCGAGATTTTTTTCAAATTTCGAAATGAAAAAGAATTCTTGACCAAAATATATAGCTCTTGGAGCTTTTGGTCTGGCGGTCTGCGACGCTGGTTCTGGACGGATTGTTGGGAGTGTCACGTGGCACGCCCTGTCGATCCCGGCTGGCGGCCGAGAAGCGGCCGAGAATCACCATCTGAGTTTTTCCGAGCTTCTATTCCCTGCTCCTGCGTTACATAACATAGGGCTGTCGTAACATAGGGCTGTCATGTTAAACATAGGGCTGTTGTAACATAGGGCCGACCCCCGTGATTATATCATGCATGGTATGTCTTAAGAGTGACATCTTACATGATGTAGTTCGCTAGTCCATCTTATACAGAGCACTACCAGCCGTTTGAAGTTGCGGCTAGCACCTAGCATTGACAAACCAAATGTCTAGACAGTCCACCTAGATATTCTAATTTATTGTGTTCACACACAGAGACACATGCTCCCCAAAACATAACCTTCTTGGCAAAGGTCAGGGCAAAGGTAACAAAATAAAGTGGTCTGCCTATTAGTAATCACCACCTTGCCCAACCCAACCCAACCCTACCTTATATTATCAGTAGTAAGAGCATTGTTTTGTTTTGTTAGTGGCAAATTAAACACAAGTCTGAAATTGACATTATTACCTAGTACGCAAAATATTGCCTATAATTATATTTCCTTCTTAACAGCAGCTGCTCCAAGTCCACAGAAGCAACGAGATGTGGCGGAAGGACATAAAGGTATAAAGTCATGTTTAGTGTTCAGTAAGGTCACACGAATTTAATTTCTTGATTCATGGATTTTTCTAGAAAAATGATGGAGCGGGCAGGCGAAAAAAATGAAAAAATAAAAACAGGCCTAGGCATCCTATTATGGCCCAAAATGGTACGATAGGAGCCATGAAGTCAACACACCAGGCTGGTCGAAAATTTTGGACCAGCCTGGTGTTTTGAATTTTGAACTTTTAATGATACCACTGCATTGAAAGATGGAATGTAACAACTAGAAAGAAAAGGACTGTTCAAGGCAAAATATATTATTAAGCATTTTGCTAATCCATTAACCAATAAATTGAATTGGTGTGGCCTAAATATGAAATAAAACTAAAAGGCTGACGTTTGCTTTGGAGCAAATGCAGCATATGGTTCACAAAATCCCCCGTACCAAGAAATGTGATTGTCCCCCTCCCGCACAAAAACCCCTGTCCAAAATGTGATATTAGTTATGCAAATGACACTAGTGATGTTAACCTTTGAGTTACTGTATAATAGCTTACACATGTCACAAGGTATAAAATTTCCATCATTTACCATTCACAATTCGCGAAATTATGCAAATTAGGTCATTATTTGCATGATTGGTATCTGTTGATGTTTCATGTACTACCACGTAAGACACTGTAATTACAGATCTAAATATCATACCTAATTATGCAAATTTAGCCTTCATTTGCATAATTTGCATTTAATTATATGTACATCTCTCAATAAGATACCTATACACCAAAAATGATGAAACTATGTTGTTCCTTTCTTGACTTATCCACTTTAAAAGTTTTTACCAGAAACTCCCCTGCAGTTCCAGAACAAGCTGCTAGGGGGACAAAACTTACACCACTTATTCTTGACAAGAAAAGCTCTCACCAAAAAACCAAGACCATAGCATGTTCAGAACAAAAGATACAAAAACTGGAAGTTCTGCTGTAGTACCAAGGTCAGCCACCAAGAGGCCAACATTTTACCTTGTCCTTCGTCTTCCTAAGACCTACCAACGTACCAAATATTATCACAATCCATAAAGGCGTTTTGAAGTTATGCTGACTACAAATGTGCGGAAACACAAACACAAACACACACACACGTCACACACAAGAAAACAAGTTAGAGTTCGGAGATGTCATGGCTCCAGCTCAGGAAATATGGGCTTGACATGTAAATGTCAATTTCTTCAATAATTATGCAAATGACGTCTACATTACATAATAAATGCATTGTGATGTTAACTTTGATGAACTTACACATGTCTCAAGTATGAAATTCCCATTATTTACATGTACCACTAAGGAGTCATAGAATTATCAGATTCAATATGCAAATTAGGTAGCATTTGCTTAATTGGTATCTGGCCAGGTGATATTCCACCTGCCATAGATTATAAGCTTTTATGTATCAAAGTCCCATGATGTAAGACACTGGAATTACAGAATTTCCTCATTAATTATGCCAATGAAGTCATCATTTGCATAATTGGCATCAAAAAATGTTGATCTCTGTCTGCCAACATAACAAAAACCATTAAAATACATTGTTCCTTAAAGTTTGTGAATTACTCTGCTCTGAAAGTTTTTGCAAGAACCCCCCTGCAGTTCCAGTACAAGCTGCTAGGGGGACCAAATCCACACCACTTATTACTGGCTGGAAAAGCTATCAATCATTAAAAAATCAAGACCATAGCATGTCCAGGACAAAAGATACAAAATCGTAACTTCTGCTGCAGTAACAAGGTCAGCCACCAGGAGGCCCAAAATCGACCTAGACCTTTACCTACCCAACACCTACCCTCATACCTTACCAAATATCATTACAATCCATACAAAGGTTTAAAATTTATATCTGCCACAAATATCCGGAAACACAAACACACAGACAGACAGACACAGACAGAAATGCCAAAAACAATATCTCCATTTTTCATGCAGATAAAAGGCATTTATGCCCCGCATTCCAATGCTGGAGGAAAATTTGCCATACCTAGACCAAAACACTTGAATGCAGTGACTGTCAAATTATATGGTATAGCTCTTGCCGCAGGTGTTAATGCAGTTAACCTGAAAAATCCCAACAGCCAATCAGCAAGCAGAGAAGAGGAAAGCAGTAAGCCTATTGGATCTTGCTCTGCCTGCCATTCTTATGCCCCCCCCCCACTATACTGTAAATTGTGAGCTGAAACAGTGAAAAAGTCCCAAATCATACAATAATTATTGTTTAAAGTGATATTATGTAAAATTTTTGCGCCAAAACTGAAAATACAAATAATTGAAATTTTTTCATCTAGATACTAGTCATTTTCGATAACTTTCAACTACTCACTATTTCATCTTTTCGGCAACTTATTAGCGTAATGGGAGAATAATTTTGTTGCGCAAGGCCTCTTCATTTTTTTCTGATTTGCAAAAAAAAATAAAAATTCAGAATCAACTGCAAAATGCTCATATTTTGCCCTGAACAGTTAAAAACAGTCCCTTTCTTCCTAATTGTTACAGTTATTCCATCTTTCAATGCAGTGGTATCATTAAAAGTTCAAAATTCATTGTTTAAATTTTGAACCAGCCTGGTTTGTTGAGTTCATGGCTCCTATGGTACCCTTTTGGGCCATAATAAGATACCTAGGCCTGCTTTTATTTTTATTTTTTTTTGCCAGCCCGCTCCATTATTTTACTAGAAAAATCCGTTAACCAAGAAATAAAATTGGTGTGGCCTAAGGCTATTTTGCTTTAAAATGGGTAAGTGGCAACATTAATGTCTATTACTGAGAATGTGTTCTTTGTTTGTTTCCAGAACTTGATCCTGAGGATGACATTGAAGCCTTTATTCGTGAAAATTATGTTATCCTCACGGAAAGGCTTAAAGTAGATACAGCACTTCTTGGTTACCTGTATCAAGAGAAAATTCTGGAAAAAGAAGACTTGGAAAAGATTTCAAATGTTGCAGAGAAGGATAAAGCAACTGAGCTTTTGCGACAACTCTCCAGTGATGGAAAATGTAAAACACACCAATTGATGAATATTCTATACAAGACATTACAATTTGATCTTATTCGTGAAGTAACTAAAAGAAAGAAACATACTATTTTGAAAGTAGAGGGGCTAAAGGCACCTAAAAAACTAGAGGCTGTAGAAACCAACCATCACCATATTCGACTTAAATGGGAAAAAGTTGATGATTCAGAAACACTTGTGGGCTACTTGGTAGAACAGTCTCTATCAAAAAATATTAGCTGGAAGTCTACACATATGGAACTACCTTTCATAGATAAAACCAGCCAACCACAACAGTATATCGACACCGAGAGCTACAAAGTATATGATTTCCGTGTAAAAGCAGTGTATGAGATTGATGATCAGTATGTGTACAGCAATCCAACAGTACTTCGAAGGGTGGTGGCCAAATTACCAGGTAGGATTCTTTCTTACTTAGTTTAATTGACGGCATATTAGCCATAATAATTATGATAATAATCTTGATGACCAGGTGTTGTTGGGTAAAGTGATTTGAGTAGTACATGTAGCATGTTGGCATGTTTAACAGACATTCACTGTAATCCAACATGGCGGATGTTAAAAGCCTGTACACAAATTAATGGGAATTAAAGTTGAGTGAATCTGAGTATGGTACTTAGTGGTAGCTTTGTCTAAGGATGTCTTTTTTAATGGGATGTAAAGTCAAAAATTCCATATTTTTGAGAACCACATTCTGAATCGAAGCCTCATCAATCTGCACCTGCTACATTGTAATGGACAATGATGAAACTGCTTTACCATCCTCAGCTGAATATCACAATGATCCTATTCTGTAAGTCTTGGAAATTTAAAACAACATGCATTTTTTTCACAGGACAGCCATTCCCTCCCCGCAGACTTCAGGTTCAAAGTTGCAACTGCAACGAAGTGCCCAACTGTGTGACTTTAAGATGGATGGGGCCTGAAAGTACTGACTGTGGTAAAATCTCCTACATCATTGAGAAAAGCCTATGTCTCAATGACACACAGAGCGAGTGGGGGTCATGGAAGTCTTGTGCAACAACAGAGGATGATTGCATGTGCAAACTTCAAGATGGACTTCACGTTGGAAGCACATACCGCTTTCGTGTTCTTGCTAAAAATACTAATGGCAAGATTAGTGAAGCCACAGAAATGGGTAAGTTTCATGTAAATTTGCTATACATGTGTTGTGTACATTTGCACATTGTCATTGTATGCTAAATCATTATGTATTAAATGCCACATTTTTTATCAATCTTGAAAAACGGCATAAAGGAACATGTCTCTATTCTATATGATCATAGATTTGACATGCATGACTGTGTACAAAGAAGAATCAACATAATTCTATTCTATCCTTTAGGTGGTGCAGAGATACGTATCCATGTTGACCTAAAGGAATCAAAGCGTCCGCACTTCAAGACAATAGAGCAAACATATGTCCCTACAATGGTTTTGAACAACCCAAAGACTAGACTTCAGGGCACGGAAGAGGGGAGTGTTATCTTGGTTTTCTCCTGTGATGACATGGATAGTTTGATTGAACTGTGGGAGATGTATGAACAGCAAAAAGTACACCAGGTGCTCCAAAAGCTGTTTGTGTCTGAAGAACTCCGTGCAAGTGGTGTCAGCCCTGATGACCTCACCGTAACCATCGATCCAGAAGACTTTGAGGCTGGTCTGAAACATCTCTCACTGACTGATCCAACCAAAAAAGGATTCAGAGTGTTGAAAGTAGAAACTGCTCATTCCACAGGTATTTTTCCAAATATCTCATAAGCCATTTAACAGATTGTTGCAAAATTTGTATTGTGATTTTATCATTATAGCAAGGCATATCAATATGGCCTTCACACTATACAGTTGTACTTCCTAGATTATATGAATGTAGTTATGGTTTCACCACACCACGAAGTGGTGGTGAACCCATATTGCTTTTTCTGATGTTTCTTCTTCTTCTCCTCCTTCTCCTGCCATTTTTTAAATGGATTCAGCTTCTTCATTTTAGGGCCCAAGGTCCTGAAATTTGGTATGGAGGTACAGTGGGCAAATAGCCCTAGGCGTTTTTTAAATTATTGTGATACAGGCTTTTAGAATGGTTTTATTTGAGTTTTTTGGCTGTGTTATAGCAAATGTATTACTGTGTTAGTGTGCCTTGTTTACCACGTTTGGGCATGAGTCATCACAATGGAATGCAGGGCATCAACCAATAGGCATGCAGCTTTCCTCTATACTTCTTGCTGATTGGCTGTTGGGGATTTAACTTGATTAACACCTGCACAGAGCATTTCCACCTGCACAGAGCATTTCTTACTGATTGGCTGTTGGGATTTAACTTGATTAACACCTGCACAGAGCATTTCCATACTGACAGTATGTATACATATATGTATTCAAGTGTTTTGGTAGGTATTTCAAGCTTTCCTGCTCCAGCATTGGAATGCGGGGCATGGACGTTTTTTTTTTTTTTTGAAAATCAACAGTTTGCATTATGCAATTAAAAATCCTAACCAATAAAGTAGGGAATGGCTATCCAACTGTTGTTTTAGTTGTATTTTACTTCATATTATAGTTATATCAATGTAAATCATTGTTTTCCCTTGTGTTTCTCATTCTTTCCCTGCCATGTCGTAAAATGTGGTGAACCCATCGCTGTATTTGCTCCAAAGCAAATATTGGCCTTTCTAGTTTATACCTATTTTCATACAGTACTGTAAGAATCGTCTACGTGTTAGTTAATTCAGGGTTTCCCAAGACAACTAACTGTAAACAACTGTCACTTTGTGCTATAACCTTTCATAAGAATAATAATAAATTATTTGTCTACCTGTGGTCTTTATAAGAAATATTGCTTTTTCTATAAACACCATGTAGTGCATTATGTTGCAATGCATTAGTCACTAATTTTATTGAATACAATTTTAAAATATCACAAAATGTTTGTTTAGGACAAAAAGAGCTGACACCAATGTATGAATCATCAGTCTACACCACACCTGGACAATTCAAGACACATCCTGAGCAGGAGATTTCTACCCTGGCAACATCCACAAGTCAAATGACAATGGAAGAAGGTAAGCATTAGTATCAAGAATTATTCAAAGTGAGTAACAGCATCGATATTCATTAGAATTAATGGCAGATTTGAGCAAGCTTAACAGAATGAGTGATACTGATACTGATTGAAAACATAAAGTAATTTGAAGATTACAAATTGAGGAGATATACAATGCTAAGGCTAAATCAGCCTAACCTGCTTTTTAAAAATAACAGATTAGAATCAAATACGGTCCTAATAAACATCATGTATATATACAAATGTAGGTCACACTCTGACAACTAATAGATAATTTCTATTACATGTTTGATAGCATTACTCTGATAAACCTTTGCTGCATCCTTTAACAAGAGTTCCGAGATCTCATACCTCCATGAAATATGGGCTTGACATGTAAATGTAAATTTCTTCTTTAATTATGCAAATGAGCTCCACATTAACATAATAATTGCATCGTGATGTTAACTTACATTGATTACTTTGATTAACTTACATGTACACATGTACCAAGTATAAAAATTCCCATCATTTACCACTAAGGAGTCATAGAATTTTCGGAGGGAGGGAGGGAGGGAGGGAGGGAGGGAGGGAA